GTCAAGTACCAGAAAGGTGAAATTTCAGGTGTACGCGAAAAAAATTTAAGACGTATGATATTATTCTCCTATCCAAATAAATCATCGATGTGTTTACCTCATTTTCGTTCGAATCCTGGCATTGACACTTACACTGATATTGCCATCCTGGCATTCACACTGACACTGATATTGCCATCCTGGCATTCACACTGACACTGATATTGCCATCCTGGCATTGACACCGACACTGATATTGCCATCCTGGTATTTACACCGACACTGATATTGCCATTCTGACATTAACACTGGCACTGACATTATTATTCTCATCTTGTCGGTGAGCTCCCGGCTGCTTCATTATAACACTCCGAACATTTGCTTCATAGCCACATTGATATTATGACGCGCAATATTTTTTTTGGAACTTCTGACTGCTCGTCTCGCGACATATCATACATTTTGAATGGTTACGATTTGAACGGTAAACACTTTAGGTCTGTTTTTCGGCTAACTGTTGCACTGGTGCAATAAGTTAGAATGAGACAAATATATTGTATTTCACTTTAGCTTATTGCAGCAGTGTAGCAGTGCAAATGAAAAGAACAGACTATTTGTCACGATGGATGCGCGACTTACTTTCGTCGACACTCCCGACGATATTCGCGCGCATCACTCTTTTCCAACAGATCAGAGAGACGTGAGACAACGACGGACGAACCCGTTTCGAAGCGCCACTAATACAATGAACATGGGATCAGTGTTTCACTGCATGGGATACATTTCTCGGAACTGCCGACTGCCCGTACCACTACATAGTCATTCCCGATACTTATTTGACGATATTTTGTCACGATGGACGCACGACTTACTTTCGGCACTCCCGACGATATTCGCGCGTATCACTCTTCTCCAACAAATCAGAGAGACGAGAGACAACGACGGACGAATCCCGTTTCGAAGCGCTACTAATACGATGACATGCTTAGAGCATATATATATATGGTGGGGGAATTGCTTTCTGTAGACCAAGGGTCGGTTTATCCAACCTCTTGCTAACTAACAGTTAGATCTTATGTCTGTTTCTACCTAATTTGAAGGAGAAACAAAGATAGACGTATGAGTTAACGGTTAGCTTAGCAAGAGGTTGGAAAAACCGGCCCCAAGTGTCTCCAAGTCTGTGCGAGAGAGAAAGGTATACATTCCTGTTCCTCCTCTGCGCGCATGCGCCAACATGCGTCAATTGTTGCTGGACTACAAAATTATTGGTTTCAATATTTTTTTACTTGAATTCTATCAACTTTACTGAAAAATAGCAAGAGATAAAAATTGTTTATTTTCTTCTCATAGAGCTCGGAGAATTTTTTCAGAATTTTATATTAACTTTTTAATACTGCATTTTTTGCGTTTTCTTGCAATTTCTTGAAGTACTAGAAAGTTAATACAAAATTTTGAAAAAATTCTCAGAGCTCTATGAAAAGAAAATAAATAACATCTGTCAACTCTAATTTAACCTAACCTGTCAACTTCAACGTATTCGCACAGAGGACGAATAGGAACGTATAGCTTTGGGCGAGTTTTTTAATTCATCGATGGATCATCGCATAATGCGTAAATACAGCGAAACGCTACATTTGCGCATCATGCGATGGATCCATCGATGAATTAAAAAACTCGACCTTTCTCTCTCGCACACACTTGGAGACACTTTCGTGCCAGAATTCCCCTTCCATATATATATGCTCTAAGTAAATATGCGATACATTTCTCTACCGACGGCCCGTACCGCTACATAGCCATTCCCGATGCTTATTTGACTATATCTTGTCACGATAGACGCACGACTTGCTTTCGGCACTTTCAACAATATTCACGCACATTTTTCTCTTCGGACGAATCGGTATCGCGAAGAACAACGATTGACGACTCGTATTAATGGCCGAGACGGCCATTAATACCATAAACGGGCGATACTCTATTCAAAGGTGTAGACTGCTTATTCCGTATATACCCGTTTCGTGCGCTTATTGGCGATATCTCAATCACGATAAACTTACAACACTTACTCACAACACGCCCGGCGATGATTCGGGCACGAGACTCACATTCGGAGAGCTAAAATCGAGGAAACGAGATCATTTTTATAAAATACGTTAACCGTTCCGTCGCGATCCATTTACTAAACTAGGCTTGCCAATTCACGAAACGAAATCAACGCTAGCCGAGCGCTAGTGAGCAAATAAAGGGTACAATAAGTTGCTAGACACGTTATTTCTGATAGCGTTGCAATTTAGTTTCAAAGTCGCCGCTGCGAGACGCCACTTTCTTGAACAAGAAATTGAGATCATGATCGGAAGCATCCACTATTTCCCTCTTCACTATTTCCCTCTTCGCTTCAGTCAGTATAAGCACAGGAAGAGAATGCAACAATTGTTCTCTCTCTTGTTAAGATACTTTTAATTTCTTTAATATCATCTTCAAAGTAAATTATTCTATTATTTATTTTTGTCAACATTGAACTTACTTATTAATGATGCGAATGTATTATCAATTGAATCGCCAAGTATTGGAGAGTGTTAGGTTATAATCAGTGTTTAGTTTGTGTATATGAACTGAGAAATATTTAAAAATGTCGATCGAAATTGAATCCGCTGAGTGAGTGAAATTATTTCTAGTTTTCTAATTGTTTTAATTGTCATAACAATATATAGTTATTTAATAGCAGTGAATTGTATCATTTAATAATCTTACGTTTCAGTGTGATTCGATTGATACAGCAATATCTTAAGGAATCAAACCTCGTGAAAACACTACAAACTTTACAGGTTACTTTCCATTTAATTTGACATATTGTTTCAATATATATATATATATATATATATATATATATATATATATATATATATATATATATA